CATTCCTGCAGCAGCATGGAGCTTGGGAGCATGCCAGGATCCGCTTTTGGAAGCAAGAAGCCCGTTCCTGCTGTAACCCCCTGACTTGTCAGACATGATGTAACGCCAGCCAGAGTCAATAGGACTGAACGCATGAAGAATAAGACTGAATGCATGGGCATGTGCAGTGAACTCGGACACGGAGAGGACGCTCCCACCACTGGCCATGGACACATGGAACCTGAGCGCTCTGCTGCCCCGAAGGCGCAAGGCTGGCACGCCTTGCCCGACTGACTGGCACACCCATGGGCTCTGGGCTCTAGGACTCCTGTCTACTGGGAAGCCGAGGCAAGGCAGCGGTTTTGAGTTTCCCACATCTCTGTGTATAGCAGCTGTCCATCAGAGGCAGGGGATGGAACTGGAAGTCAGCTGTATGGCTCTCTGGAAAGGAGCAGAGGAGAAATCATGTTCCCCTACAAAGTCAGCAGGGCCAGCTAGGAACGGGCACCCCCTCCTCCTCCAAATGCTGTTACTTTGCTGCCCTGGGGTTGTGGCACAGCCCGGCCTCCGCCACGTTGGAGAGACAAGCTTGGAAATCTGGTAATCAGCAGAAAATGAGACAAGGGAAAACCAACACGACTCTGTCCAGAGCTTTGTGCGTGCTCTGGACTTGTCCTTGTATATAGGGGCAGCACACATGGAAGGGACTGGACTCATTTATCCGACAGGTGAAACAGGAAAGACAGACAGGGACACACACACACTCACAGCAACTGCACGACTGAGACACGCTCTGTGCCATGCACCTGGGGAAATTCGCTGGGCTGGCCCCTGGACTCTGCAGCATCCCTGCCAGTTCAATGCCTCCCTTGCATTTTTAAGGCTGCAGGTGACTTCCTGGCCAGTGCCCCTAGGCTCCTCCGGGAAACGGTCCTGGCACGTTCTCTCCCTCAGGCCCCGCTTCCTGTTCCTGCCCGGGGGGTGCACAAAGCCAAGCAGCCCATGCCCTTGCCGGGCAGGTGGGTCGTGAGCACCCGGATTCCAGCGAACAAGACCTGTGCTGGGAGGGGCTTTTGGGCTACGACTTCCCCGTGCCTGTCCCAGGCAAATGCTGCTCAGCAAGAAGGCCTGCGCTGGGAGAGGACTGCCACTCCTGGGAATCAAGGTAAGAGGCTGACGTGAGTGGCGGGGGACCCGATGGCTGCTCCGGTGCCTGACAGAGGGAGCACCCTCCTGTTGCCCCACCCCAGGCTTCCCTCTGCTGCGAGGCATCTGATCCCAACCTGGCGCTGCCCTCTCCCTCTCACCCCCATGTCTGGCAGCCAGCGCACGGCCTCCTGGGTGCCGCAGGAGGGCCGTGCCCAGGCGAGCTCTGGGCTCTGGGGGCTCTCAGACACCGGGCAGCACGCCGGCTCTCTCTCGGGGCACTGTGGGAAGGGGTTGGCTCTCGGGGAGCTGAGGGCTCTCCCCGTCTCTGCCTTTTCCAGACACTTCACAAATGAAAACACTCGGCTGAGGTCCCAAGAGGGCCGTGGGCTGCCCCACTGCAGCCCCCTGTGGGGTCCTCCCCAGACAGCAGGGGTGGGGCGCAGGGGGCCGAGTCTGACCCCGTGGAAGCCAGAAGGGAATTTCCTCAGGTGCCTCCTAGAAGCCAGCGCACGTAACGTCACGACACGGACACAGCACAGACATGCTAGGGGGCACGGGCAGGGTGGGGTACGGTGGGTGGAGGATCACGCTCCGCAGCAGGCCCCGCGCCCCCTCTCCCCATCCCCCAGGCCAAGGGAGGAGCGGGGAGCGTGACTGGCGCGTGACACAGAGTGGCACAGGGAAGACGACGTGAGTTGGCTATGAGATGAGAACATGCTCACTTACACAAATCGCCCACCCTCCTGAGGCCTGAGGCGGTTCTAGACAGAGCAGCGCGGACATGCAGATGTGAGAGCAGGAAGAGAGGCAATGAGAGAGAATGTTAGCATCAGTCCAGGGCGTAGTAACAATACGGAGAAGAATGAACAGACTTCATCACAAACCGTCCCGGAACCGCTGCAACTCCCAGAAACCCGCCTTGGGCCGAAGGGCTGGCTCTTTTTTCGCACCCCTGCCCTGCCCTGCCCCTGCCCCTGCCCCCCACGCCGCGGGGGCTCAGGCATGGGGGCGGGGGGGCTACGTTGTGCTGATCTGTGGGCAGCCCTTGCTCTGGGGCAGAGGGGCATTACCCCCGCACCACAGAAATGTTCCCAGGACATGGCTGAAAAGCAGCGCTTCCCTAGGCATTGTGCTTGCGGCTGGTGCCGCCCCCAGCGCTGTGCTGCTGCCGTGCAGCCGGCATGAGCCTGACTGTAAAGGAGCTGGGATGCCCGCAGGGCTGTGCACCCCCTCGCCCCTGTCTGGCCAGGAAGGGGCCGTGGCCTGCGAGTGCCAGGACAGATTTAGACGCTCCGACTTAATTTGCTGTTTGCTGTGACCCAGCAGACCTGAGGGGGCTGGCTGTGGTTCCTGAGGAGATGTTAAAGGGTCCAGGCGATTGGCACCAAAAGGATTCTGGGAGCCAGTTCGGTTCAGGTCAATTCAATATTCATTGGCTTTACATTCCTGTTTACTAGAGGAAATGGGACATTCATAATTGCATGAATTCAACAGCCAAAGCCTAAGACAATTCAACAATGGTATTCCTAATAACTGAGAGTGGGCATGGGGGAATTGGGGGGGTGGGGGGGAAGAGAGAGAGAGAGAGAGAGTG